GGATGAACCAGCCAGGGATGAACCAGCCCCTGCTCATGTGGGTGAACTGGCCAGGGCTGACCCAACCCCAGCTCATGTGGATGAACCGGCGCCAGCACCTGTGGATTTGGATGCTTTGCTTTCGCAACGTCAAGCCATCTTGTACCCTGACATATATTTGCTACATTGAAACATGATATCAATTGTATTCTTTTTTGATCGTTTTTGTGGGGTTTCCCTGCTGCCTCAGGCAACGGATCCAAGCTATCCAGGCTGCTCGACTACAGCCCCGTGAGCCACGTCAGCCAGAGGTACCGCTGCCTGCAGGCCTGGCTGATGCTGCATGGTGACTTATCATGTTACATGTGGGATTATCAGATTATCATGTTTCATACGTGCTGAACGTCATGCTTGGGCTTGGATTTATGCCTCTGGCAGGACATCCGGATGTAGTGGACACTTTGCCCTTCGATGTCGGCGCCTCCATAGCTTTGGATGGGGATGGCAAACTCCCTGTTCCTGATGTTGACCCCACTGAGGAACTTTTGAGGGCACCGACTCTGATCCTAGGAGAGGATTCCGCTGACCGCTCCAAACAACTGCCATCCGCAGAGCCTTCCAATCCACCAGCTGATGTTGATCCTGCCACCTCAGCGGGTTTGGGCGGCCAGGGTCCACAAGAACCCGTGGAAGAGCCTATGATCGATGCCATGGAGCACCAGGCATGCCAGCCTTGAAAACGCATATTGCACTTATTGCACATGTTGTGTTCAGTCTGTGCTTCATATACATGTTGGCCTGTCAGGAGCCAACTTCCAGGATCGAACAGTTCCAGGCCAAGAGAGGCTATCAGGATGAGGATCAGGAAAACCCACCAAAACGGAAGAGGGGTCCTGGTAGGCCAAAGGCTAGAAAGCCAAAAAGCAAAGCTAAGGCAAAGGCAAAGGCAGAGGCCAAAGCAGCCAGCAAACCCAAGCAGCCAGCAAAGGCAAAAGCAACAGCTAAGTCGAAAGCAAAGGCTAAGGCTAAAGGCACCAAGAAGGTTCCCACCGATTCCCAGGCCACTCCTCCGAGGACACCA